TGGCATCGCCCAGTTGATTCACAGCCTAAATAGACAAAAGTTTTAAAATCTTGAGTAAACAATTACAGGCATTTGGCAGAAGGAGCATTTATAGCCCTACAGGTTTAGCCTGAACATGAATATCCGATCCTGTGCACATACAGAGAGTTGCATACATTATATATAATACTTAATATTTTAAATTAGATAAAGTGTGTATTGCATTTTAAAATTTTGACTACATTATTACATACATATAAATTATTTAACTTCCATGAATCGTTATATTGATGACATAAAACATAATGGATAATGTAACGTTGTACTTTAGAGGGACTGTCCAATTAATTAGAACAAAATTATTACAATTATTTTTATTATTGTTATAGCAATTGTTTTTTTTATTTTAAGGAGTTTAATTATGCCACTCCAACCAATTAACTAATATTAGAGAAAAATCGCTTAATAAGTTTAAAAAATAATATTTATTGAAAATAATAATCTTAAACAAAAAAGTTCGCAATAGAACTTTTTATAAGTATGTAACTTTCTCATAATATTTAATGTAAATTTATAATTGGTTAGTATTACTAATAACTACTATAATAAATTAGTTTATAACTACTTTTACACATTAAGATAAAATGTAACGGTTTTATTCTACATTAATTGAAAAAAATGAGCAAAAAAAATTTGTAATTTGTATTAATTGGATATCCGCCAATTAATATATATATTTTAGAAACTCGATAAATCTTTGAAAATTACCAAGTATACACTTTCAAAGTGTTGCATATATACTAGTGTAGCTAACTCGTGCGATGAATGAATTGTCATATAACAGCTGTAACAAAATATTATCGAGTAACATTTTTTATTTAATATTTTCATAATAATAGTTTATTATTTAACTTATATGTTGAGGAGAATATTTCAATTACATTATTTGATAAGTTAATAAATAAAATTATTATTATAAACTTTTGAATTTCCGTTTTGAGTAACTTAATGCCTATGTATTGGCGGACGGCCGTTAATTTGATAATGCACTTGATACTTGAATAGTTTATCTTTTTTAAAATATTCATATTATTTTCCACAATTGTTTCAAATTAATGTGGGAAAATGCACTAAAACTAATGTGCAAACTTATGGCAAAACAAAAATTTATTCAATTTATATTTATGATACTTTGATTTAAATAACTTTAGGCACATTTGTTATTTTAAAGTATGATAGCTAAATAACTTGTAATTTAATTTTATGTAAACAAGGAAAAAAAATCATTTTTTCATGAAGTGTGAGTGTGGAATAAAATATAACATGTTACATCTTTACGCAAAGAAGTAAATAGAAACAAATGTTGATAGGAAGTGTCCAAGGTAAATAATAACTAATTTTATTACTATGTTGAATGTCACAATGGGTTATAGTAACAACCATCAATTTGTTTCGGTAACTAGCCTTCAAATTAGTCATTTTCTGCGCATATGCACATATGCAAATAAAATATTACAAATCATATGTATGTATATTATAAATAAAAATCATAAGTCGTGTAATGAGCATCACATTTTATAAATTTAATCATTAGAAAAAAAAATTAACAATATAATTAGTTGAAAAATATTAAATTATTATTATAAGAGAAATTATTTACACGATTTTACAGGGTTTGTTATGTCATTAAAACCAAGTAGTTATCTAAAACAATGGCTTAATAAGATATAAACCTTTTAGTGCAAATTTATAATTAGTTAATATAAGTAATAATTATTATATGATAAAATAGTTAAAAATATTTAGTTATTATTATAAAAGCAATTATTTAAACGATTTTAAGGTGTTTGCTATGTCATTGCTCATTAAAACCAAGTAGTTATAAACAAAATGGCTTAATAGGATATAAACTTTTTAGTGCAAATATATGATTAGCAAATACAAGTAATAATTATTATATGATAAAATAAAATAGTTAAAAATATTATTATATTTAATTAATGCAAAATGTAACGGCTAGTAGTTTCCACAATTAAATAAATAAATAAAAAAGAGCGGGAAAATAGCATAAATTTGAATGCCCCACAATTATATATATATATAGATATAGATATAGATACCTGAAGTAGCTCCCTCTCACGAATGACCCGTTGTGGCTGAATCATCTCAGTGCTCGGACTGGAATCCTCACCATTCGCAGCGGGCTGGGCAAGAGTAGGCACTTGTGGAACTTCATTGAAGTTAATCAAGCGCCAATTTATCAGCGGGTCGTGCACAAAAGCCTGAAAAAAAAAATAGAAAAAAATCCAGCCAACATGAATTTTCTTCGCTAGTTGAGGGGTTGAAACCAGCCAACGTTAATTTACTCCAAATCAACACTGGAAATATGTATTCCTTTGCTTGCTCGGCCCATAATGTATATACACTTCTCTTGAGGATAATCTGAGCTGTGTCTCTCAAGAAATGAGTTGCTAAAGGGAAGGTGTTAACAGTATGAGTGATGAAGTACTATTTTAGATGTTTATATATATGAAATTGCATGACTGCTGTGCAGAACATGCACAAATCTAACACTGCAGAACATGCACAAATCTAACACTGCAGAACATGCACAAATCTGACACTGCGGAGCTGAATATGGGTAGAAAACATGCAAATTATATCGTTTGAAAGAAAAATGCACAAATGTACTACAGAACATTTTGAGACTCATTGAGATTTGAGACTTTTTAAGATTTTCAAATTTAGGAGGAATCGTGTGAAATCTGGAGGTGGGATTTGAAGAATTTGAAGTCGAATTTCGTATATGTTTTTTTTTTTTTTTTTCCTTTAGATCCCAAATCTTAAAAAGTCTTAACAAATCCTAATATCAATTAAATTTAAATACCTCAAGATTTTGTAGGACTTTTTAATATCCCAAATGAATATCTCAAGACTTTTAAAAGTCTTAAAAAGTCTTTAGAAATTCCAAACGAATCCACCCCCTTAAATCTCATGGTTGCGTTGTGCGTATTCGGCTAGGTGGCCTCTTGGGTTGTCCTCCCGAGGATTTAGCTGTGTAGCTGCTTATTCCGGCTGTTACCGGTTGTAATCCGTTTGTAATTATGTGTTTTTATTTATAAAATTATGCCGTTGGAAAAATAAAAAAATAAAAAAAAATCTCATGGTTGAGGTTCATTCAGATTTCTCATTCCTATATGAACATGAATTTACACACACACACACATATATATAAAATAGATTTTGTACCTCCATCATTGCCATCACACTGTCCTTATTTGTGCGCAAAACCTGCATGACACTTTCGCATGTCGAGCGGAAGTTTCCTTCAATACCGCTGACCTCCATTGCTTTAACAAGCATTCTAGTCAGACGGAAAGGGACCTAAACCAACCAATAATGATATTTTACGAAGAAATCAACATCATGTTTCGATTTTCGGAAAAAAAAAAGTATATCAAAGCATGAAACAACAGCTAACCTTCTCAGGGAATTTCTCTCGGTTCATTGAAGCTTCAAAGCAATCTCCAAAATCAATATGCAATATCTTCCCGCTGTCAAAGTAATTCATCTGAATAAGTGCAAAACTATAATATAAAAATAAATCACAGATAATGGCATGAATATACCTATAACGGTGCAGCATGAGGTTGCTCGGATGCCGATCGCCCAGGCCAAGCAAATAACCGACCTTAAAAAAATTGGAGCACTCATGAAAGGTACATTTTCAACACGCTAGGAGTAAACTAAGTCAAATACAATTAAGATTTCAATAAAGCGACAATGAATATATGGAGGCAAAATCATTCTGCTAGGAGTAACTTATGTCTAGTAAAATTTATAACTAGTACGCATATTCACTGGATTCACTGGATTTTCTTACAAAACTGTTAACTATTAGCATCGGGGCTTGCGAAATAACAAGATCACGCACATATTGAATAGATTAGGAAAGTTACAAGCCCGTTTGGTTACAAAAAACAATTTATGAACAAAATTATCTTAAATAAGAAGCCATTACCATACTCATAACAGCCAAGCTTCTTGTGTAGTTGGTCCTCCTGTCCAACCAGATCTCTGAAGTGCGACTCTTTAGCCAGAGCACCTAGCATTTGCAGAAAAAAAGTATAAGCACGTATCGGAATGGAAGGGTATTATGAAGTGAGTTCTCGATTTTCCGAATGATCCCTACCCTTGAAAGGTCATTTCCGTCTGTATTTTCCAAGGCGTACTCAAACACCTCGAGTTTTGATATAATGGGCAAGCGATCATAATCCGAAGCAAAACCAATCATTAGCTTATGTTCATGGTTTATGCTGATCTGCAATAACAAGAAAAAGGAACCATAATAATCAATCAGGAAACCCAAAAGCACCATGCAGAGCAACAAAAGTCCACAGACCACCCTCGTCTCAAGGTACTTCCACCATTTCGTCGTATGAACTTTGAGAGAAAAGTTAAGGGGAAAAAGCATCGAGCAGAAACCTTTCTGGCATCTCGGTACTCCCGAATGAGATGGTGCAATGTATCAAAATTTGGTACCCATTCTATGAGGCCACTGTTGGGAGATAGTGGAATGACCTCATATCTTTGGATGGACAGATCCTTCTCGGCAGTTTTTCTAGAATTAGCCAGCAGCGTATTTACTAAACCGAAAAGCTGGTTTGAGAAGCAACTTCAGTATGTTAGTTGATAAATAATAGAAAGGCAATGAGAAAAGTAGTTTAAGGGTGTGATTGGATATTAATTCAATAAAAAAAATCAATCAAAACTCAAATTTAACTCAGCCCCACTATCATCAATTTTATCAATATAATTAAATAATACCAACCAATCATTCTTACACATCACGTCAACTTTAATTCACTATTTATCCACTCACATAATTTTAACAAACCATCACTTCATATCATCTCTCTCATAGTTTTACATCAAATAAACTTTAACCATTTTATTTTAAACATTATTTTAATTAAAACTTAAATTCCCACTAACAACTAACTATACCACATTTTTCAAAATTAACTCTGGTTAACAAAAAAACTAATCAAAAACCAATCAAATACATATCCAATCACACCCTAAATAATCGACCAATAATGCTAGTTGATAAAGTTCGGATCAATATTACTGGCCTATGTTAAAGTATATCAAGGTCCAAGCCTATAAGGCCCATGAACAACTCTATATAGGACTGGGCAAAAAATTCGAACCGAACCGCTGAATCGTAGATCCGAATCGAAATCGAACCGAATTTTCGGTTAACCGGGGTACTCGGTTCGGTTACAAATACCTCATAGGAAGCATTTGGTCGGTTCGGTTCGGTTACGGTTTTTAGGATTTTTTTACCCCGGTTAACCGAACCGAACCGAACCGGACCATATATTATATTAAAATTTATAAATATATATTATATTATATATTATATATTATATTTATATATATTAAACTAACTTGTTGGTATGGCTATTCGCGAATTAACCGAAAACACAGATTTGTGTTAGGTTTGCTCGGTTCGGTTCGGTTAATTCGCGAATAGTAGGATTTTTTTCGGTTAACCGAACCAAAACGAACCGAACCATATATTATATTAAAATTTATAAATATATATTATATTATATATTATATATTATATTTATATATATTAAACTAACTTGTTGGTATGGCTATTCGCGAATTAACCGAACCGTGCCCAGCCCTAACTCTATATATATGGTCCTCTTTCATAGCAAAGGAAATCACCAATTCATTCATCAACCCTAGGTTTGTAACAGCCTAATATCGCTCTCTCAAAATGAACTTTGTGAAATAAGTATGCATGATATACCAATACGAGTAATCCAATCATTATGGATTGAGAACAGATAAGGCACTATGGATTCATGAACAAAACCTGCATCACACGTTCATCCTGACGTAAATCTTCATGTCCCTTCAACAAGAAAGCATATTCTTCACCATCACTTCCATGTATTGTCAACTTACGAGGTCGTTGCTTGGAAGTGATGACAGTAAGCTGGGGAGCAAATGATCCGATAGTCACCACATGAGAATCTGGTAAGCAATCACAAAAATCTGTTAGCTAATAATGAAACTCTACACACGCAAGAATATATGTTCCAAATGAGAATTCAAAAGTACCTGGTTTATAAGTTCCAGGGATAGCAAGTTTTAGGTCACGGCACTGTAACAATTCTGGAGAGACAGACTGTTTCACAAAAGACAAAAAAATATTTAGTATTTGCAGGCGAAGTAATGATCAAACACAAGAGTGAAATTCTCTTGCCTGCAAGTCCAGGGTGGTGAGAGACTGAAGCTGCTTATCCATTCGCTTAAACATATGGTAATAAAGATCCCAAGCCTAGAAAGGACACTTTCATTAGCAACTGTATATCAACTTAAGTGAATAAAGTTGATGAAATATAAACAAGAATTCCAAATGTAATTTTCAGAATTTATATACTTGATCTGCACATCATTTTAGTCTTTAGAGAATTTATTTACATTATCGAGAATTGAACAGATTTATTATGACAAAAGCACTGAAAAAAAATATTCTATAACTAAAAAATCATATCCTTATAATTGGGCATTTTTCTCACAACAACAACATAATATTAATGATAGCCATGAAGGTATCCTGGTGCACTACTATGCATATATGTGCTTCTCTTTGGTGATTAGAATGATTATTCTTCATTTCAGAGAGTATCTTTATATGTAATTTCTCTTCTATTATTATGATAAATAAACATTTTATAAAACAAGGAAAATATAAAAAGGCAACAATGTACATACTGCAGGTACAGGAGCCAGAATATGAAATTTCAGGAAATGTGTAACCATATGAATATTATAGTAACTGTAAACGAGGGCATATATATGGTGCAATAAATCCGATTAGGAAGAGTCTCGATTATTTGATTTTTCCAAGGATATAACTTATAAATTATGTGATAATTTCATGCAGTCTTCAACATAGACGATAATCTTGGTAATAATATACAGTGATGGGTAATCAATGCAACAAATGTCGAAACATTATTACATTGTCATGTAATTTTCACCTGAGTTAATTCTGCATCTTTTCCACTTCTTGCGTATCTGATGCAGCTTGCGTGGGCATCCAAAAGTTCTTGACGGTATTGCTGAAAATTAGTCAAATTTAATTACTTTCTTCAAGTAGTTGCACGAAAAAAAAAAAAAAAAAAATCTTGGCATTTCATTTGGAAACAAAAAGAAAATCTTTTAGATCATTTCTTTTAGAATAGCCAACATGTAGAAGGATAGGTCACCTGAATGAAGGATCTCTCGTTTATGGTGTTATTGTTCCTCATTGCACATTCCTCGAGCATTTGGTGCAATGGCTCTAAAACAGTCATCATTGCCTCAAAGTTACGTTCGCCAAAATATAAGCGGCTTGCCTCTTCTAATCCTTCATGCCACATTTCAAGCAAAAGTATAGCAACTCGAACCAACTCCGTAGATACAAGTTGGGCCTGTGCAATTCAAAGCATAGAGGTCAGATAAAGATAGAATTTTTTTTATTTTTATAGAGAAAATATTGTCATCATGTTATATTTTCACCTCATCCACTAGCACCCCACTGTGCTGCCTAACTTGATCAACCACTTCTTTAGCTGCCTCCTTCCGCAAAGTGCTAATAGATTTGCAGGCCACAAGAAGAGGGTACATAAGAGCCTGCACAGTGCATCATATTAGCGGTTGATATATATCACAGTACAGTCGAGGTATAATATAGCATTGTACCAAAACGTAAACAGAAAGAAGAATGAAACAGTATTTATTCGAAACTATTAGCTAATTCGAGCGTAACTATGATTTAGTACTTTCATACATGATAATGTGCCTCAGCTAGCAGGTTCCACTATATATATATATATATATATATATATATGT